CCAGTGGGTAAAGTCGATATTGCTGCAATTCGGAAACAAGCTGCCGCATCTGGTCAGCTGAAAGATGAGCGCCCCGCAATTATCAAGGGCTCTTATGAGCCCATTGGCAAAGTCGACATCGCTGCTATTCGAGCCAGAGCACAGAAGCCGGAAGCCAATGACAACGTCCCATCGAGCACTGCATTCAACCAACAGCCAACAACGTTGCCCGAGCGACCTGCGCCCTCTACTGCCGCGGAGCGTTTGACCACCCTACCCAAGCCAAGGGTTGCCAACAAGTTTGGCTCTAGCCCCTCCTTCCCTGGAACAAAGCCACCCCTCCCAGTTGGTCTCGGGCCTAAGCCAACCACGAGCGCGCCGATTGGAACTGCAAGCCGAACTTTTGCTGATGAGGGAGGCAAGACACCCGCTCAAATTTGGGCAGAGCGTAAAGCCAAGGAGCGCGGAGTCGCCCCGTCATCTGGAACCACTGAGCCTACCTCTACTCCTGCCCCGATTCAAAGCCAACCTAGTGGCCAAAGCGAGTGGAGAAGCTCCTATGCGGGCAAGTCCTGGGCTCCCGTTCAAACTGCACAGGAAAAATCATACGATCCTGAGCAACCTGTTGATGCAAAGGCCAATGACCAACAAGAGGATAAACCACAACCTCACGTGAGTGCTATTCGTGACCAGTTCGCTCAGGACACGCCCACACCCGCGCCTGCGCCACTCGCTCCTCCTGCTCCACCTGTTCCGCAGGCCAGTCGCCCTGTTCCTGTACCCGGGCTATCCTCTGGACCCGTCGAGTCTGAGCCTGAGCATGACGCCCAGCAGGCTCTTCCTACTCCACCACCGCAGCCTCCTCGCTCCCCGACACCTCCCACCCCGGAGCGTGAGAGCTCGCCGATCCAGATTGCCATGCCGGTTGGCCGCGGCACTGCCGACAGTATTGCGGATGCACACGAGGAACAATATTCCCCTCCCCCTGCTATGCCTGTTCGGAGCCTCCAAGAGGCCGTTCCCGACGAGAGGGAAATTGAGGATGATTCTCACGACCTAGGCCGCGCTGCGGCCGAGGCAACCGCTCCTCAGCAGCCCGAGCAGCCCCAAGGCGGACCGCGAGCCCAAATCCAGTACGACTACGAGAAGGCCGAGGATAATGAGATTGAATTGCGAGAGGGAGAATATGTGACCGACATTGAAATGGTCGACGAGGATTGGTGGGTGGGTGTCAATACTCAGGGTGAGCGTGGTCTCTTCCCCGCCAACTATGTGGAGATTGTGGAAGACACAGAACCTGCGTCACACGTACCGGCCGCTTCCGACCATTATGAAGCGGAGCCAGAGCCAGAGCCTGCTGCTGCCCCCGTCCCGGCGGCACCCACCCCTGTCGCTGCCGCTGCACCATCAGTGGCTACCCCAAGCTCCAACGGTGTCACGGCCACAGCTTTGTATGACTATGAAGCCGCCGAGGATAACGAGATCGGTTTCCCTGAAGATGCAAAGATCTCCAACGTGGTAAGTGGAGCAATCCCTGTTTTTCTCGGCTTTGCCCCATCACTATCTACAGTACTAACCCGGTTGTAGGAATTCCCCGATGACGACTGGTGGCTTGGTGAGTACAATGGCAAACAAGGTCTATTCCCTGCCAACTATGTTCGCTTGGACGAATGATTGGATCATGCGTAGATACTCCGACTCCAGCAATGCGACCAGGGGAAATTCAAATTTCTATTGATTCGCCAAACTAGATCTCACTATGTATCCTTGGTTCTTCAGTATAAATACCCAGTTCACTACCACTTTCAATTAAAATGAGTCAATAAGGTTCATTTGAATGACTCATTGTCTTGTAGTTCTAGATCCACATCTTATCCTCGTAGTATTACTTCTTTTGAACATGTATGCAATGTATCCACGTGCCTGGATGTGTGTTTTAAAGCCAGCGAATCACCGACGTCATGATCGGAGCACATGCTTATGTCAGCATCACGTGTGCCGAAAAAGTGGCCATAAACAATGTTCCAAGGTTCCAAGGAGAGTTGCTTAGGCCTTCAGGGATCCCGGTGACCGTTCGCACGCGACCTCACTTTGCGTGTACCTTTACTAGTTTTTCACTCTTCTTAACTCCGGGCTCTAACTCTTACCTGTGTGTCTCAAGGAGCCAGCCTTCAATTCGACATCATGACATCGCTGGGCGAGGATCTGCTCGTGACAGTGAACAAGCTTCAGGATCTGGTCTTCAACACCATTGGGAATGATTCCTTGGACTTGCCCCAAATTGTGAGTCTAGTCGGGTAGAGAGCTCTCAGAGGTTGAGAGGGAATTGTCATTTCTTACCCGGTCAACCCAAGACTAATCCCCGCTTCCCTCTTAGGTTGTTGTTGGTTCCCAGTCATCCGGAAAGTCTTCGGTCCTAGAGAATATCGTCGGAAGGGACTTTCTACCAAGAGGTAGCGGAATTGTCACCCGACGGCCCCTTATCCTGCAACTTATCAACGTGCCCAGTGAACGTGATGATAAGCCGGAAAACGATGAGGTCCATACCCCACACACGGCTGCCAGTGTTGCCGGTCAACACGAATGGGCTGAATTCCACCACCAGCCGGGACGCAAGTTTGATGACTTTGCCCAAGTGAAGCAAGAGATCGAAGCGGAGACAGCAAGAATCGCAGGAAGCAACAAGGGCATCAATAGACAACCGATCAACCTCAAGATATTCTCACCTCATGTGCTCAACCTCACGCTCGTGGATTTGCCTGGATTGACGAAGGTGCCCATTGGTGATCAACCGTCGGACATTGAAAAACAAACACGCACTTTGATTTTGGAATATATTGCCAAGCCGAACAGCATTATTCTTGCGGTCTCTCCGGCTAATGTCGATCTGGTCAATTCCGAGGCGCTGAAGCTTGCCCGTCAGGTGGATCCCATGGGCCGGAGGACGATCGGTGTTCTGTCAAAGCTGGATCTCATGGACCATGGCACCAATGCGATGGACATCCTGTCTGGACGTGTGTATCCCTTGAAGCTTGGATTTATCGGCGTTGTCAATCGGTCCCAGCAGGACATCCAGTGTGGAAAATCGCTTTCAGATGCATTGCGGGCAGAGGCTGAGTTCTTCCGGCATCATCCAGCTTACCGGAATATGGCCAACCGCTGCGGTACGCACTTTTTGGCCAAGACTCTGAACACAACCCTGATGTCTCACATTCGTGACCGGCTTCCGGATATCAAAGCTCGGCTAAACACCTTGATGGGTCAGACTCAGCAAGAGTTGGCCAGCTACGGAAACAAACAGTTCAGTGGCGAAGAACACCGGGGATCATTGATTCTTCAGCAGATGACCAGGTTCGCCGCGTCGTTCATCTCATCTATCGACGGAACTTCCTCAGAGATTTCTACGAAAGAGCTATGCGGTGGAGCAAGGATTTACTACATTTTCAACTCTGTTTTTGGAAACTCACTGGAAACCATTGATCCCACTCACAACCTGACTGTCTCCGATATCCGAACGGCCATCCGAAACTCGACAGGTCCTCGTCCCAGTCTGTTTGTCCCGGAGTTGGCCTTTGATTTGCTGGTCAAACCACAGATTAAACTCCTCGAATCACCCAGTCAGCGATGCGTGGAGCTGGTCTATGAGGAGCTTATCAAGATCTGCCACACGTGTGGCAATCAAGAGCTCCTGCGTTTCCCTCGTCTCCAAGGAAAGTTGATTGAGGTCGTATCTGACCTTCTTCGTGAGCGCCTGGGGCCCTGCTCGACTTATGTAGAATCTTTGATCTCGATCCAAAGAGCTTACATTAACACCAACCATCCTAACTTCCTTGGTGCCGCAGCTGCCATGTCTTCAATCATGCAGAACAAGCAGGACGAAGAAAGAAAAGCCTTGCTAGCGGAGGAAAAAAGAAAGCGTGAGAAGCGACGTCAAAAGGAATTGGGAGCTCCCAATGGGACTACGGGAGGTCCTGAAGAAGAAGAATATTCTGATAAGCAAAACCTCCCCGTCCGAACCCACTCTTCTAAGGGATCGCGAAGCATGTCTCCTCATGTTGGCCGCACAGGCGAGAATGGCATTGCTGCTTCTCTGAATGGCAGTCAATCTAACCATGCTGCGTTCGGTGGCGGTGGCTCGAACAATGCCCGCGACTCGTTCCTGAACTACTTCTTCGGTAAGGAAGGTACTCACAACATGGCCATGCCACCGGCAGGCATGAACCCCCACCGGCAAGGGCCAAATGCTGGTGAGCCGAGCATTAGCCAGAGCATTCGGCGTGCCGAGGTTCGGGCTCCCATTATGCCGACTGAGGGATACACTGCACCGTCGGAGTATGGTGGTGACATATCTGTATTCGTAAGTACCACTGCGCATTCGTTGTTTAAATTTTAGATGGTTATGACTGACTTCAGCTCTTACAGCCCAACGAGAACACGGAGCCTGCACTCACGGAACGTGAGATGCTCGAAACCGAGCTCATTCGCCGTCTCATCTCATCATACTTCAACATCGTCCGAGAAACCATTGCAGACCAAGTCCCCAAGGCTGTCATGCACCTCCTTGTCAACCACTGCAAGGATGTGGTCCAAAACAGACTCGTGAGCGAACTTTATAAAGAAGATCTTTTCGGCGAGCTTCTCTACGAGGATGATGGCATCAAGGCCGAGAGAGAGAAGTGTGAGCGGCTATTGGAAACGTACAAGGAAGCCGCCAAGATTGTGGGCGAGGTCTTATAGATGGTTAACTGTTTTATTATTTTGGTCTGACTCCGGGGTAGCCTGGGAGATCTTGATTTTGCGTCATGCTTGATGCCTTACCTTTCCACTCAAATGGTGTGGACAATGTTGCTTTATCTCAATTTATGTACAACTACTGCAGCCTGCACATGATATCGATATATTTTTCCTCTATTCGTGGCATGGCTCCTAGAAGTAACCGGCTCTAAGGTAAAACCGAGAAAACTCACGCAAAAGGCATTTTGTCTAGACATTTAGATCAAGATCTATCTAATATGATAATATCACTGGGCCTTTTTGGCAACGCTTCGTAGACGTGCACCCTCAAAGCCATATAAACCACCCCCGACAAACACCAAAGCCGCGCCAACCAAGACACCTCCAGCCAAATTGTTCCCGAAGAGGTAAATCGATAGGAGCAGGGAAACCAACTTGCGAACATTCAAAAAAATGGTAACAGTCAACGATGACGACTTGGCCGACAAAAGATGGACTCCTCGGATGCACAGATACTGCGTCAGTGCATTCATCGCCAGATAAGCCACCTGAACCGGCAGATGCGCCAGGAAAGCCTTGACAGCCTCAATGTGGCAAATCCGCCCCAGCACCGAGAAAGCAGTGCTCCCAACCGTACCAGACGACCCCCACAACCCGGAATCCAAATGCGACAGCAAAGAAGGCGACGAAGCCACCACCCGCCACTGACCCAGCAACTGCGGACAACTCGTCAGGAAAAGCGGCAGAGAAAGCGCATGCGAGTAGAAAAGCGCCTCTTTCCAATAGTCTCTGCCGTAAGTCGCGTACAGCCGGTCGGCATAGATGCCCTGGAACGCAGAAAGGACCATTGCGAGCGCGAGGATTGTGAAGCCCGTCACGGTCGTGATTGTATCCGCCGCATCGGACTCGACGTGGATAGATACGCCTTTGGATTGCGCGTCGGCCATGGCGGCTGCCGCCACGCCCACCGTCAGCATCGCTACCGAGGCGATCTGGCCGCGGGAATAGCGCTTGCCGTTGTATAGGTAGCCGATTACCATTGAGGCGACGGGGCCTGCGGACCGGAGGATTATGTGTAGTGGGACGGAGATCTTGTATGCGAAGGCCCAGTTGTTGAGGAGGTTGACGCTCATGAAATAAGAGGTATATACCGCCCATGAGCGTAGTGGAATAGCGCGTGGGCGCAGGAATAAAGCTCGTGGTCCGGCTGAGGGGGATAGGAAGGTTGGGATGGTGAAAATGGCGCAGATCGCGAATTGGGCGAATGTTATCAAGGGACCTGTACGTGGAACGAGTTGGGTTAGGATATGCAGTGCGATTGTTTTCATTGGTTCTGGTTGTCGTCCTTACCGGCAGTAGGCTGTTCTCTGGAGAAGATATAGGATTAGCGTTGTGTTTGGATTAGCCTGGTTTGTTTTCTTACTTGATAATCGCCTCTAGCGCAAAGACCTGTAAAGGATCAGTTCCTGTTTTGGCTCCGTAGCAGCGTTGGGGGTTTCTCTAGACACCCACATTGGCACAGCAGCCCCCGAAGATAAGAGAGACCATTAGAACCATGCTGGTCCAGCTAGGAACCGCCGCATGGGCGGCGGCAGCAACGAGGCCCGGCGCATCTTTCTTCAATTGAGCATAATCAAGCTTGTCCTCGGATTTTTGAGATCGAGATTTTGGGGGCGAAGCGACGTTCGCGTTTCTATTCGATTGATTCACAGTCGAGACTCGAGTGCGATTGATCAGGTAGGAGTCATCGTGTCCTTTTGAGGGTTCATGATCATTGAGCATCCTATTCAAGTGTGAGCGATATTGACTGAGAGGAATTGCAAATAGAGATGAATTGAATTTCTGACCTTCTAGGAGTTTCAAAGGGCGACTCCTATGAAAGGTGAGATGAGGTGGTTAAAAGAAAGAAAGCTGGGGCTGAAGATAAGATTGTGGATCACGAGATATATATGCAACTATATGTACCGGATTTACCATTGTAAAGCCCCCCTCAAGCTGTCTATGATATAGTTTTACTCTTAATCCCCTAACTGTCTCAAGCCCCTGACATATTATGCAGTTAATTAGGAGGAGAGAAAGGATAGCAAGGGCAACGCCTAGGCCGAAATTTATATTAGGAATCACTGGGCTAGAGCGCTAGCTCACCAACTTTGTATCAAAGTAAGAGTAAATATCAAGGAGGACCTCCTGCTGATCCGCTATACCGAGAGAAGTTCCTGGCAGTTGAAACAAGGGTGTGCCACTTCTATGTCTCCCCACGAAGAGAATCCTGGCACTCTTACTGGCTGCAAGCCTTTCCATTGTAGGGAAATTCCGTAGAAATTCCGGTTCTCTTCGCCGTACCCTTTGAGTAAATGAACTCATGGATATGTTTCCGCGCAGTTACCAATCTTTGCTGGGACCTTCTTGTCGTGCCGGGGGTTGGAAACCAAGACGGCGTATCATCGACCAGTCTAAGCCGGACGATGACAGTCTTACCAAGGAAAAGAACCATATCCGTCGAGTTTGAATACCCATGGCCAACATGAAAGCGGCGACCCCTATACAGGATGCTCGCGCCGGGAAGCGTGTCCGCACTCATTCACCTGCGACAAGTCTGTATCAAAGATGAACCCCAGTGAATGCTATAGATATTGCATTCAAGTAAGGGTAAGAGAAAAGAGACTATAGAAGTAAAGAAACTCGGTCTTGGTACTGTAAGCTTCTAGCATCTCTCGTCAAGCTCTGCCTAGATAGTATGTTGGCTCTTCTGAATGATAGGTAAGTGTAAATAGAGAATTTCACCCTGTTTAGGCCTTGGTATGTATCTTTCATAAAAGCAAGTAAATAGCTTTTATAACCTTCATGCTAATGCGATTGAAGTTTATATTGAAGGGTACTTGGTGTGATGTGACAAGCCAGGCCCAAGATGGGGAGAGAAGAGTGAGAAGCAAGAAATAGGAAACCCATAGATATAGTCCTGCAAACAGTGCAAATCCCAATCTCTTGCTAAACTAGCAAGTGACAAAGAACAAAGAAATCAGCAAGCAAGCTCTTTAACAATCTCTATTACATAGTGTCAACATATAGATAGGGCATTGATCTAGACACTCACTTGCATTTCCAGGTGTACCTTCCTAGTTGGGTAACTACCGCTAATGCCGCTTCTGCCAAACTCCCGTATCAGGTACCTACGCTTTATATGTAAACTGCTAGCAAAAATAAGTCACTTTCGTCACATCTTATTCTATGCTTTACTTTATCAAAAACTGCTTCAACAACTACTTCATTGTCAAGGGGTTATAATCTAGTATGCAAACCAGTCTCGAAGAGTATATACAGGACTACATTGTTCATACTGAGTACATGTTTATGTTCTCGCATTAAATAGTTTACTATGATAGACATGATACGCAGAAATATCACGCTCAATCGACAATGTCATCATCGCTGAGAATCAATTTCTCTTCGGGCAGTTGCAGTCGAGGTCCAAACCCACGACTGCTGGATTGTTTCCCACGCGACCGCGAAGCTGGAGACTCCTCTATGTCGTCAATGTCATCATTACGAAGATTCTCGTTGGACCGAACGCTGGTGATCTTATCCAACTGCCACCAATCTGGGTCCTGACGCCGGATTGCAGCCATATAGGGCAACTGATGAAGCAGTAGATCATGCCGGGGCATCATCGTGACCACACTCGGGGTGTCATTTTTGTTTCCCGAGTCGGCGGATATCGACCTTCCCACCTGGAGATTTTTCCAGGAACTGACCCCCGTGAGGCCGGAGCCATTTTGAGAAAGATGCTGCCGTCTAGGATCGAGTGTTCGGTTCATCCACGAGTCGATCAGTCCATCGATTTCCTCGGCCTCTCTCCACAACCGCAGAGAAGCTGGGTAAAACATCTTGAAGGCATCACCAGCGCGGCTTCGTCCGGCTCCAGACCCAACCCGTCTGTTGACTGGGTATGGAAGGGCGAAAAGAAGACCACGCGCCGCAACTTGGAAACTAATTTCTTCCTGCCGGAGCACGTCTGTACCGCTACTGAAAGAGGTGATTCCGGTTCCTATCCCGGCGCGCGCCCCTTGCCCTGGTCGGCGGTCGGCGCTGAGGATATCGCTATCGGAGAGTGCATCGATGCAGTCGTTGAGAGAGTCGGTGAAATTATCCCCATCGCAGGATGGGATGTAGTTTTCATGGAGAGCACTGATGAAAGTTGATATGTCGGTCCCGGTCTCGTCTACCAGATCATTAACCAATACCTGCGAGGCTTTTGGTCGGGCATAGTGGCGCAGATAGTCCGGTGGCGGTGGAAGGATCTCGACATCGCCCTCGATCAGACTCGGGTCCATGCGTTTGTTGTACATGATCTTCCCAACGGCATGGAACATGCCCAGGCTCGCCTCTCTCTGAGTTATCAATTTGAGAGACTCTTTCTCCATCGGTGTCAAAGCAACCTCACCTCGAGCTTTCTTTGTTTTGGCCACGCTGCCTCCCCATCTTCCCGTTTCGTCCCCTTTCAGACAGAGGAACTCGAGAGAGGAGATTGCACTGCGGATATCGCCGATTTCAGAGATACTGTCAATAACACCTGGCCCCGGTATCTGGACACGCCTAGAGTTCCGTGCCTCTCTGTCCAAAATAGACCGTAAAGCCTTGTGCATAAAAGTGGGTGCAATGCTATTGAAATCCAATATCGTTGTCCCGGGGTGATTATAGATTGTGGGCCCCAGTAACCGGTGAACTGTCAGGTTATCTGAGATTGAAGACGCAGAGCTCAACAAAGTCTCCGACACGATTATCACTATAGGCGGGTGATTCGATCCAGAACTGCCCCGGGCATGATCATTCGCCGCGGCAGCTAGATATTGTTGAAGAGACGTCCGAAACGCCGTGAGGGTGGAGGACGCCCGGCCAAACACAGTCGGAAACTCCTCTATAAGAAGTATTCGCTGATCCCGAGGTTTCTCGTCTTTCTGAGAATCGGGCTCGGTGGCATTTCCGAGGTCAAGCCCTCCAAATTTATTACCCCGTCCAAGAAACTCTTCAAAGTGTGCGCTCACGGATTGATGATCGCGAGCTCCAAATTCCGAAACCGGGGGATTCTTCCACTCGACAATATCGTAACCAATTGACTCGGAGAGCAGGGACATAGTGGTCGTCTTCCCACTGCCCGCCGGACCCCGTAGGACGAGTAACCTCTGCATACTGTCAGAACGACATTCAACCCCAACCTCGAATTATTCTCAAATCAAAAACTCACCTCGGGACGCCTCCCAGCAAAAGCATCCTCTAGCCAATGCTGCACATCCGAGACTTTTTTCTTATGAACGGCCAATTCGCCCAGATTAGCCGGAGCGAACCGCTGCGCCCATGGTCGACGGTCCGGTTCGCTAGCCGGTTGTGCAGCCAATGCCTCCTTCGCAGTTCCATTCCCAGAGTCCGTAGACAGAAGGAACCGTTTCGTCGTCTTCCGCGGTGGTTTGACTGAGGCCTTTGGCTTTGGCTTCGGCGCTGGCTTTGGCGCAGGCTGACGTGTCTGGCTAGAGCCCATGGCTGCCAGACCCATCCGCTCATTAGCTAGATGCTGTGTGAAGATTTCATCGTAGGAGTCATAATCATCCTCAATCAGGTCCACGTCGACGGTCTCCGTGACCGGCGGGAGGGATTGCTTCTCGGTCTTTTGTGGTGCCCATCGCTGTCCCTCTGTCGCGGGCGGAAAGAAGTTGTGCAGGGACTTTGATTTCGAGTCCGAGTCTGGCTTTGCTGGTGATTTAGTTCTTTTGATTGGAGAGGGTGAGGACGAGGGAAGCCGGGTTGATGGTGTTGTGCCGCGCGAGTAGGAGGGTTTAGGGCGTGAGGAGAGAGCGAAGGGTTCCGCTGGTTCGATAGGACTGGAGCTATCTGATATAATGATGGCTTTTCGTTTTGATTGTCTTTTCGGCTCATCTTGCTTTAAATCCTTAGATCTGCGTTGTCTTTTAGGAGGACGACCGCCATCCATGATGAGTTGGTCAAAAACCTGGAGAAATTGAGATACGAGTCCGATAAGCTTATGACGCCAAGCGGTGGGCCTTTTGCCAGATTTATAGATGTGAGATGAGATGAACACATAGATACAGATGCAATTGCTAACGTTAAATTATATATTAGAAATAGATACATTCATAAGACAGATCGCACAGCGGGTATATTGACCAGAATCCGAGTCGGCAGAGCCAAAGAAACCAAAATCCCCAACAACAAGAGAAAAGACACACATATATAGAGGGAAGTACCCCCTATGCGCCTCCAAATACATCATAGTAGTAATCTTCATCCAAGCCATCTCTCGAAGGGACCTGGGGAGCCTCACCTGCGAAAGTGGCGTCGTCAAACCGCACATTGAGCAGGCGGATTTTCAACCCGTAATTGCTGATTAGATCAATCAGCTTGCTTGTCTCTGCAGTGATGGGCTGCTGGTTGAGAAGCATCAGTAGGCCATCTAGCCATTCGGACGCAATGCTCTGCGAGGATGGCCGCAGCGTGAGCAGGACTACCTCCTTTTGAGTGGTCCTGCTGGCGGACCGAGCGTGGCTGTGGCCTTTTCCGTGTCCGGTAATTGCGGAGGGTGCGTAGCCGTGGATGGTGATCTTGGTTGCGGGTTGCCGGGGTGCAGTCTTCACCGTAGCCGTGGAGGAATGGTCTGGGCTGGTGGAGACGTTCGAGACTACGGATGATACCATTGAGAGATCGACTGTTGAGGGCACGGTTCGGTGTCAGCAACACATACAAAAAGTGTGATTACGGGAAAGCACTCGGTGACACTCACTTTTCTCTGGTAGGGTGTCCAACTCCGGAGCTTGTTCGCCCATCAGGTCAAATTGACCGAAATGCAAGTATCGTCGGTTGTGAGAGAGCTGGGCATATTGATATGTAGCACTAGACTTCTGCACCGCCCCCGACTCCGACTTAGAGGAGTCCAGAGCGAACCAGCTACCTTGAAGCAAGGATCGGATTCGTTGCTCTTTGACGAATTGGAGAGCCTCATGATGAAGTTCCTCGCGCACCTGTCGCAAGTGCTGGCCCCATGCATCCTCGTACGTAAGTTCAAGGAGTTCCATCTGCAGCCCGCGTAAGCGGTGGTATTCGAAATCGGCCAGTTCCTCTTCGACATCCTGGACATCCTTGATTCGAGCAGCTCCGCCAACTACCGACTCAATGAGGATACGCACGAGCTCAATGAGCTTGTCCAAGTCCTCTTCCTCGGCGGCAGTCGCCTTCCACAGGCGGAAGAAGGCCTGTAAGCCGGCAACATGTAGGCGGGTCCAATGTAACAACAGGGGCTGGAACAACTTATCAAAGCCCGTACGGGACTCTGAAAGAAGGTATGTTTTTGAGTCATCCATGTCGGACTTTTCAACCTCAAAATGCTCATATAAGATCGATGTGACGGCCAACGAAGCTCGAGCAATCGGACACCGTTGTCCTGCTGGCTTTGTAGAGTGCTCCAAGAGCATATTCTGAAACTCCTCCCCATGACTGCGGACATAGTCCGCCAGATCCATCATACCTAGGAAGCCGACCTCGTAGAATTCCCCGGCCGGACTCTCCGTCTCAAACCCAAGCCGCCTCCACTTTTCCGGATGATGTCGTCTAGAGCGCCGTGTATCATCGCCATTCTCCGTAGGCTCGTCGGGAATTTTCCCCGGGTTACTGGCCAGATAAATTCCCTTCAGCGCACGGCGATGCTCAGGCGTCTCCTGGTTGACGGGGATATCTCGCCACTTGCGTAGCAGTACCTTGGTGAGTGACTGGAATTCCAACAGCGGATGCGCCAGGTCCTGAAGGGCGGAATCCTGCATAAGCACGTAAACCGCTCTGATAACGCCTAGATCCTGTAACCTCTGAATAAACTTGGGCCACTCCGCCTCCGGGTCGTGGGTGATCGAGTCGCGCATGAGCGAGTTTATCAATTGGAGCGCATTGGCACACAGCGCATGGTCCGCGGAGGATAATCGGCTGACTAGCATCTCCAGGAACTGAGGGTATATGGCGATTGCAGGTTTCAGGGCGCGGAAACCAAAGTTGTTGATCTGGGAGGCGCGGTTCCCCATGTACGGGTGGGAAACAATAGAGACGAGAATGGACATGGCGCCGCGGAGGATGTTGACCAGGGGGTGGGTGACGATCAGCTCGACAGTCTAGAAGATAGTCGCATTAGAATCCGACCACATCAACATAGGTAGAGGGCATTGCAATCGCCTCAAGCATAACTCACGCGCTCAACCAACTCATGGTCAACACACTCCCACCCCTTGTCGACATCGAGCAGCCTCGAGAAACTGGTTAAACTGTATGCCAGGGTATTCCCGCTTGCGTTCAGGGTTAAGTAGCGTAATCGAACCAGGCCTCCCTCTGCGATGAAGATGTCGGCGAAGGACGGGTCTCCAATGTTGCTCTGGAGCTTGAAGACGGCCATTTTGCGCACGGCATCTTCATCGCTACCGAGGCGCTCGACCAATTCGGCGACATTGACGGTTTCCATGTCTTTGAAACTCATAAGAAAGACCTCGGCAGAAGTTCAAGGAGAGGAAGAGATCAGGGGGGGGGGACTGTGGGGCAATTGGAATTTGAATGGTGATCTCGGTGATGTCGATCTTTTAATCTATTAAGCATGAATAGATTAAGTAGTATTCCAACATTTCATATAGTATCAAGAAGTTGAGGATTGGGAGGAAACAAGAACAGTGACTAAATAGTTGTATCGAGGTCAACCCCCTACATTATCATAAACCAACCTCGCAATTTCCCCAATGCGGATCTATACATTATATAGCTGGGTTTTCAGTGTGATTGTTTCAATATTTGTTATTTTATGCATTATGTCGTTACATGATTCCTGACAATCAGTCCCGGGTGATTCTATACAAAAGAAATGCGCCAAATCCAATCCACGCTCATCTTTCCCCCCAAACGCCACAGGGTGTAACCTGCCTTTTTCCATTATGTACGACGGGCTAGCCGCCATCGTCAGTCGTGAAGATTGTGATCAAGATTAGCGGCGCCAGCCCACATTCCAGATCACATGAGCAATGTCTCGGGCTGTGTTCACAGTGTCCACGACCCGGTGATATATACTACTGCTGGGGGTCTCGGTCTCGCCTTCCGGCATGATCATGCCCGAAGCAGTGAATCGGGGCGTGCGGTCTGATGCAGTATCTTCAATAAACCATGCACGATCATGATCGGGGTAATTGCCCGTGAAGTCCAGGCTGGGATCTTCGCACTCATCCAAAAGAAAGTTGGCCTCGGGCTCTGATGGCCTTGATGGACGTAGGGTCTCCACAGAGGGAGTTGGTGATAATGTCCGGGTGGGAATGGGGGACCATCGGTCAAGGATTGTCTGAGTGTGGAGCTCCGGAGGATCCCCACGATACTTGAGCGTGGTTGAAGGGAGAGGGGCGATGGTTTTCCCATCGCCGCTGAAGCTGTTTCGTGGAGTGCTGCGGTTGCTTAGGGAGGACCGGTTGGAGATTTGTCTCATGAAGACTACGCCGTCGTCGGAAGATGACTCATCTCCAATGGTAGCCGGCCAATCGTCCTCGTAGCCCTTGGCTTCGACCGCGATGCATTGCACGACTTCATCGTTGAAGTGGATATGGCGCCGTTCGCCGGGAGATGTCATTCCAGATGCTGACGAGGCAGTGAGAGTGCCACCGAGAGAGTAGGTCGAGCTTCCAGTCCGGTGATGCAAGTGGTCCAAGTCCGTGTTGGACCTTGGGAAATAGGGTCGAGCCCAGTTGTTCTCGGCTTCTTGGGCCTTGAGAATGGCTCCGGCATGTTGGAGTAACGTATGTTGAGACAGGGATCGCTGAAGGATGGCCTCGGACGCGGTCTTCTTCTTCAAGATTGGCTTTCGATCTAGATAAGAGGTTGGTGTTTCCAAGTAACTTGGAGGCGGAGATGGAGAGGTTCCACGTTCGACGGAACTTTTTAATGGCCCGTAGAGCCAGGTGACATCGCAGTCCTTGAGCCTAGTACGAGGTTAGCGGGATAAACAAAAGATGAAAGATTAAGAAGATCAAAAACATACCAATTGAGGCTTTCCGGCGATATCGTCTTCAGATTGTGCTTGGCCTTGGCCCATGTCCTCCACGAGGCATTCTCCAGTCTCACTCCATTGCTATAATCGTTCCTTCGACTGGTCACATAACGCCACGAGGACCAGATATCCTCCTCCTTCCAGTCATGTGAAAGATAGTCCACATGCCTGGATGGCTCATCCTCAATTAAGGTGTCATCTGCCGATGGAGGCTGTGACGTCCACGAAAATGGGTGTGATTCTGTCGACACGTCGCTGACATCCTCTGGGTCTTTGGCATTGTGGAAGCATTCTGTGTCGTAGGCGGGTAGGATGAGTTCGTTTTCCGAGGGGAGGGTGTTTAAAGTAGATGGATAGGCGAGTTGCTCGGTGATAGGAGCGAAGTTGGAAGAGGGGAGCACAGAGGGCAGGTTTGAAGCGACTGGGGGGTCCGTCGCGTGAGGGTCATCTTGCATGGGTGATTTTGCGGGGATGGCGTGATCTTTTAGGAAATATCGCTGCGTAGTGGGACTAGCGGGACACCGCACAGGATCCGAGAATGGCGAATGAGTTTCGCGGGGCGCCAACAGGGCCGTCATTTTCTTTCAATGATGTAATTAATCACAGGGAATAAGTTGGAGGGATTGGCCGTTCAAGGATATAGCATATCCAGGTAATTGGCCACGGGGATAAGACCCCAAGGATGGGAGGAGGAGAGGAGGAGAGAAGAGGGGGAGGGGAGGAGAGAGAAGAAGAGAAGAAGAAGAGGAAGAGGAAGTGAAGAAGTGAAGATAGGGAACCAAACTCCAAGGTGGATATTATGGCTGTTCCCGGATTCTGGGGGATTTGGGGATTTGGGGGAAGGGATAAGAGAAAAAGCAAATAACAAGTTTATATTCATAAAGCAGAGTTGATAATTATAGAAAAGAACATAGAAGTTGCCACAAGAAATTAAATCTATTCTAGCCCTGTAGTCGTCGTCTTAGTCTCACTTGGGCCTAGTCTACGAGCTAGTCGACTGTTAGAATACTTAATACTCCGTAGTTACAACACATCCAATACGCATCTCATAAATTACTGAATCATCTAGACCGATGCATTCTTCTCCACCAGATATGCAAGAGGGTTTTAGTGTACCGAAGGTGCTATGCGTCCTTGTCTAACGGTCGATCCTGTGGAGCATATAAGAAGAGTATGTAGGGTACCCTATAGAGGATATAGAGTATAATATACAGTACTCCGTCTATCCAGTACATACACAGACTAGGCATTCGGAGTATTCGGAGTATAGAATAGTTGGAATTGTATAGAAATGCAAAGTACTATCTCCAGGGCTACTCCTATAATCGCCATAATCGGAGTTTCACGGAGCCATTCGGCCTAGAGCCTGTAGCCCGCCGATGCATCCGCACGGCCTGAGCACGTTAGTTTCGAAGAGAGTCGGACCCCTTTGATGTGATCCACTTCGAAACGAGTTTGGATGGGATTTTGGGAATTATTTGGGATTATTTGGCCAGGTCAGTAGTACTAGCCGAGGCACTAGCCTTTCTAGAATCCCGTCATGGTACTTTTGTACCAGTAACACATAGGACCCTGTTGGCTGTCAAACCACAATTTAAAGGAAAAATTAGCCATGATCGACCGGAGATACTAGCCGAGGCCAAGAGTACAAAGCAATAGGAATGCCTTTGGGGGTTATAAAAGAATACGCGGGGTTCCAGTGGTGGCGTATCTCTTCAGCCATTGACATCTTCGACTTTTGCATTCGCTCGAATTTGCGAGTCCCAACTTAACTCCTTCCTAATCCTGTACCCATGCACGGGCAGCTCGAGAATATGCAAGATAAGAGCTAAACAACGCCAAACATGCCAAAGGACCAAAAAAAAAGAGAAAAAAGAGGTGTCGTACACAGAATTGCCTTTGTCTGTGCGCTTGCATCGAGAGTATCTGGGCAACCATACACCGAGCACCGTCATGATTGGAGGGCTAGAGCCATCGACATCAATTCTCAGGAGGCGACATGGTTGATGCAAATCGCAAGCCAGTGATAATCGTCTATTGCTGCATGCTACCGTGGTGTATTCGTGTTTGAACCTGGAAATGGAAAACTGAAACGATCGCTATAACGTCGTAAGTTTCCCAGTCTGGACACCTCGCGAAACCTCCACCTCTCCGCGGAGGCTTGATCTGTAGCGCTAGTGCGATGCGCACCCCGGTCTCCCCACGGGCCTCCTAACGTTTGTCATATTCCACGCCGATCATTGGCTCCGACAGTATCAGAGTCAATGCTACTTTCTCTGCATTGACTCGACGCATCTCGCCAGCACTAACATCCACAGGGGTAACGTAACCACTCTTTCCTGTCTTCGCCACTAGCTTCGCTTCCAAGTCTCTTGATAACGGAGCTAGCTGACGGAGACCGGTTTTGACTGCCCAATTGAATGGATGAAATGCAAGACAAAACAGGAGTTGCAAGATTGCAATCGACTATCCTTATCAGCCATTTGCGGATCTACCGTAAACCGGGGGCACCAATTGGCGCGCCTGGCCTGCTATCGTGGTGGTAACCACAGCTGCACCTTAAACGGCTCCTATCGAGTTGTTCTTCCTGCATCGCCTATTTTCCGGTTTCGGTTAACCGGGGGATAAGGGATGTGGCCCCATCCTGGAGACAGCTGCCGAGGGGGAGATTAGCAAAGATACGTAATGTCGTGCTGATGAGCGACGTTTGTCCCAATCCGGATTTGGTGTAAGATAAAAAAAACCATTCTAGCTGAGCATGTAAGATGGCCCAATAATGAGCAATTAAGCACCACCATATTACCACATTGACTAGTCTGCCACTAAAGCAGGGTAGAAGGAAGACAATCAATGACCGTCATTGCACGTGATATCCAAACCGGGTGTAGCTGGCAGAACTGCCCCTCCGCCCCCGCTATGTTGATTCTGGCAGAGAAGAAGTCTAGGCCGATAGCTACCATTTACCCACGGTACTATTTTCATACATCATGGCTGAGGTAGAAACAGCCCCAGTTGTACAGGCTAGACATGTTGTGTACTGTGGAGGTGAGGACCCCCGTGGCGCAAAACACAACCCCAATTCGTTTGAGAATATAGCGCTGACGGAATCGATCATAGTCTGCACATTACCCCCCGAGGTATGACATTTGAGTTCCTCCCAAAATCCCCCAATTTCCAGTCACCCAGAAGTGAAAACTCAGCCTTTTCCCCGCTCTGGACCCTGGCTCTTAGCTCTTATCTGGGGACCCCGGCTGCGTCGTGCGTGGCATAACTCCCAGCCACTGAAAAGCGCCCACCGAGCCTGCGTGCATTGCCTTTTGAACTATACTCTCATTGGAGATCTGACATGTTTCTGACGTGCGGGGCTTTTGTCTAGTACTGCGAGTTTGGAGGTACCGCTAAGAAATGCGAAGAATGGCTCAAAGATAACGAGTCGGATCTATGGGACAAACTATACTCTGAAGGTACGAAGCTCCCACGCTACTTGACTGGCTTTACCTGCATCGGGCGATCCGCAAGCCCGGAAAGGGAAACACCGACATCCTAACACTGGGTTTCTTTCTATCAGATGCCCTGAATGCCAACCTCTCCACCCTATCCGTCTCGGCACAAGAACGCGCCGCTAAAGACGCCGCTAAGAAAGAGGCCAAAGCTGCCGCCAGCGAGGCACGCGATAGCGAGCGCAAGGCCGCTTCCAAGATTCAGATCAAACGTGTCGAGCGGAACAAGCGCAAGTACGTGACGGTCGTGATCGGCCTGGAGGTCTTCGGATTGGAGAACAAGAAGATCGCAAAGGACCTGGGCAAGAAATTTGCTACGGGTTCCTCTGTGACCCGCTCGCCTGCGGGCGTTGAGGAGATCACCGTCCAGGGTGATGTCAGTGATGACCTGCATGATTGGCTCCTCGAGGTCCACGGCAAGAAAATCCCCGCGTCTAATATCGAACTGATTGAAGACAAGAAGAAGAAGAAGAGCGAGGGCCCGGTATAATGACGAACACGAATCCTTTGCGGACTGGGTATCATGACATAAACATAAAATAAAAGTACAAATTGAAGATAATTCAAGCACAAACCAGAAACCAGAAACCTGCGGAAGCACAGATCAGGGAATTGATCTAGTCAAGGATCTGGAGCGAAAAATTTTTCATAATTCATCCAGCGCACTCATAGCATCGCGTTCCGCAGCTGCTGCATCATGCCCTGATCGGATCGTCGAAGTCGGACCAGCCTTGTCCAGGCTCTCGCGACGATTTGCAAGGTTGGACGGATATCGAGCAAGCCCTGCATCAGACTCTAAACCTCTTTCCCCGAGACCGAAAACGTGATCCCACACCTCGGACTGAGGTGGCACAGAGGGCAAAGAGTGGTTTGACGTTGTCAAACGTGACGCCTCACCGTGGGAAGACCAGAATTGTGGCCAGTTCTGGAGGACCAGAGCAAGGACAAGCACCAACAGCGCACTTGTAACAATGCCCCAGAAGATACGTAGTCGACGGCTAGTCCGGGTTTGCCATTCTGTTTCTCGCTGTTCCCAGCTATCGATCTCGTGTCGTACGGTCTCGAGTCGTTTGCCTAGTTCTTCGACGCGCTGTCGGCCTACTTTCATGCGTTGCTCTAACGCGTCAGCCTTGCGGACCTGTGGCTCGAAGCCTTTTAGGTCATTGAGCTGTTTGCGGATATCCTGGTCTAATTCGACTGTTTCACGTTCGAAGTCACTGAGGAATGTTGATGCTGAGTCGGAGAGTTCCTGGAACGACGAGATAGTCGAGTTGAGCGCTGTGATTTTCTCGAGCAGATTGTAATAGGTGTAGTCTAGCCGACGGGTGACGTCTGTCGCTAACGTCCCAATTGAAGTCAATGCAGACCGTAGATACCTTGGAACAACCATTAGTCGATTTCCTATGCGCAAAGAAGCCAGAAAAACACATACTCCTCGCCTAGCTTTCTCCGCTTCTTAACCTTCTCCAGGTCATCCATAGACAGAATCTCGTGCCGGCGGAAAGGCATTAATTGCTCATGCTGTCCAGGTGTATCGAGCAGACTCCCCTTCCGACCATCTGACATACCAGTAGTCGACTCAGATCCCCATCGACTCCGGGTCGTCTCCCTCGTAACCGGCCTCAACAACCCATCATCGCCCTCGCGATCCTTATCCTTCCCGCCCGACCAAGTATGGAGCAATCCCCTCGCGCTCGCGGAGGAAGCCAGGTGGATCATGGGATTAGGGAAGCGCGACTCCCGCGACTTGTGATATTTGTTGCGGCTGGACCTCAAGCCATCGAAGGTGGATGGCTCTTGTTGCTGAGGGGATGAGCCAGTTCGATGCTCTCCTTTTGGGGAGATTTGGCGGTCATCGGAGCCATGGCGGTGCGAGCGATGAGACTTTTTTCGGTCTGTTTGGCGACTTCCTTGGCTACTGAATCTGGAGAAGTCATCTGATTTGGCCTGAAGGTCGCTGGCTTGCTGGTTCTGGCTCGGGCCCCGGTTGGAGGTTTGGGTGGGTGGGAATGTGGCGGAGGCTGTTCGGGATTTTGAGAATGATGCCTTTTTATATGAAGGCTCCATGGTGGTACATTCTGAGAAGAAAGCTTGGGGAAGCTTGGAGGCTTGGTGTTTGGGTTGGAGTGTGGAGTTGGGAAGATCGATGACGCCAAGGCTGAAGACTGATCAGCGACTCTGCAGCTGACAGTATAGTCCATCCTACTACCTATATTACTGGACACAACAATTACGTTACCGAATATATTGCGATTATAGAAAAACATTCGTCTTGCTCGCTAGTAGTGACCTATGACCTAACCTCAGAAAAAACGCCTTTTAAGCCCACGCCAGAATGAGTGCCCAGACTTTCCCGCCAGGGACAGGGAAGAAGGAAGAAGCCTCAACAAGCCGATGTATATACACACAATGCAGTCCTGGAGGAGATGGAGAGATGGTATGGCGGAGATATAGAGAAGACCGTGAATGGCCTTAAGAGCTGAGCAGCTTGTTGCGCTTCTCTCTGCGCTTGAGACGGTCGAGTCTCTTGTGGTGCATCTTTTCGGCCATTTTCTCGTAACGTAGCTTCTCCTCCTTAGCTTCTCGGCGGTCCTTGATGCGCTGGATACGGGCCTACAGGGGTTCTTCGGTCAGTGATACCATCTTGGGAAATGTTGTCGCATGATTATGGAGACAGGCTGACGGGAAATAGAGACCAGACAAAGATACAAAAGGAAAGGGAAGTGAGACAGATGAAGAGAGAAAAGAAATAAGATCAACATACCTTTCGTTCAGCCTCATGCTCCTCCTTCATCTCACGTTCAAGTTCCTTGACAGCATCGTTGTGCTTCTTGAGCTCTTGACGCTTAGCGTACGAGGTCAAACCCGCAGTAGGACGAAAAGCCTTCTTGGTGTCATGCCAGTTTTTGCCTGAAAGTCCGATGGGGTTAGCCGGGGAAATGAGGGAGAGCAGGGAAGTGGGGACTGCGTATTATTTTTTTTTTTTTCTTTTCACTTACCATTTTTCCGTACGCCGGCAGACGGAGGCGCAACTGATGTCGTAGCCGTTGAGGTAGACATGATAGAATATGTGACTTGGAAAAAGACCAGTTCCACGTGGAGGTTTCAAGAAAGTGGATTGGGGGGGGAAGAAACTTGAAGCAAAAGAGACGTCGAGACAAAACGGAGACCGAGTTTTTTCATTGATTATCTCGATCTGATAAAATGTCTTGGCGTCCGCTAAAGAGAGAAATTGCTTCGGCCCAATTTTCCTGACTCCACCTTTTGTCCACTTTCCACGTTTGACTTCCTCTTACAGGCTGTTCTATATCATTCAGTGTCCATCTTCTTGCTCGTTTAGGGCTGTCCTCGTTTCATTTCTCCTTATTAGCTTCTGCACGGTGTCTTGGCACCTCATAAGCCCATCAAATCCCTCGTTACACCGCCCCTCCCCCCACTACCATTTCCTTCACTACTTATACCTCTGGTCCCCCATCTTACCATGATCCCTCGATAACACTCTTTTACCTTGTCTTTTTTCCCGATCTTACTTGATGGCGGCGACGGAGCATGCGATCACCATCAGTGAACCGATGGAGCTGCCATCGCTTCCGCCTAATCAGGGCCTTGAGGCGATAAAGGATATTATATTTGGATCGGTAAGGAAGTCCTTGGCACATGAATGTGGGCGATCTAGACTGACACTCTCCGAAGTCGGCAGGAATGGCAGGCAAACTCATCGAGTACCCCTTCGACACCGTCAAGGTCCGACTACAGTCACAAGCCGAACACCTTCCTCTCCGATATGCAGGACCACTGGATTGTTTCCGCCAGTCTATCCGAGCCGATGGCTTCCGGGGACTATATAGAGGCATTAGTGCCCCCATGGCCGGAGCTGCGGTGGAGACCAGCTGTCTCTTCTTCAGCTATCGTCTCATCCAGGATACCCTGCGCGCAACGGTCTACCCAGGCGTTGAGCACCTACCAATCCCCGCTCTCATTGCTAGCGGAGCCCTATCTGGCTCAGTCACCTCGCTGGTACTCACACCCATTGAACTGGTGAAATGCAGGATGCAGGTCCCCGCAGAATCAGCAGGCCTCAAACCCGCTGGCCCCGTGGCCATCATCGCAAGCATCTTCCGACACCAAGGGCTGGCAGGATTCTGGCGGGGCCAACTGGGAACCTTAATCCGGGAAACCGGCGGAAGCGCAGCGTGGTTCGGTGGATACGAGGGCGTATCGTCGCTCTTCCGCAAGTATAACAAGTCGAACCCGCACATGACCTCCGACTCGCTCCCCGTCTACCAACAAATGATCGCAGGAGCAACATCTGGAATGAGCTACAACTTTCTATTCTACCCGGCCGATACAATAAAGTCCCGCATGCAGACTGTAGACGTCTCACGACTTCCAGTCCATGCTCAAAAACATTCATTCTGGGGCGAGGCCAAGGCTCTATGGAGGCAGCAAGGGCTCAAGGGCATGTACCGCGGGTGCGGGATCACCTGTGCGCGCTCAGCACCCAGCTCGGCGTTTATTTTCACTGTTTATGAAGGACTACGGCAATATTTTGGATGAAAAAAAGAGAGCAGAGAGACTGCTACAATTCCCCTGCATATAGAAATTTGTCACTATTCTATCGGTCTAACTGAGGTTGGACGATGACTATGCTGGCCCCATTTTTCCTTTGAATTCTTCAATACCTAACTCTTTGGATTTTGGCATCGTGCGCTATACCCCGATACATTCAAACACGATTCTTGCTTCTACACTTTCTTTCACTTTTACTTCTCCTTCTCGATGCCTAACCTACTGTTTCTTTTGAAAATCAAGCGTTGTTTAACGCTTTCCGCTCGATTTGTGAAGCATCGAATTGTGCCTAAAAGACTTGCCTGGCTTGATGTATGTCAGGCCAAGCATCTCCAGTCTAGCCGATGATGGCCCATCTATGGCACTCCCTGGTGGATATCTCACTCGCTCGCTACTCGGCATTTGAATCTGGTGAACGGTATTTAATCTGAGCTTTTCTGCCATCTTGGCTTGTTATTTTTTTGTATAGAATAGAATTGAAACATTGCAAATAAATTCATTCCAACTTTAACACCCAGGGTGACTCAGTTTCTCAGTTACCATTGTCATATAATCCAGAACAAACAAAGCCAATCTCAAGCGAAGGTAGGAGGCGAAAGGCCTCTTTCGCATAATAACTAGTCCTCTGAAATCCAAACAAGAACAACCAACACTAATGTGTCTCGAATTTGCTATCCTCCTTCAACCAATCCCCAAAAGTCTTCAAACCAGGGTGCAACTTTTTCAAGGCCGGAATATCCGCACCGAAGCCCTCATCATGGAACCATTTGAACATGGCACCCATCTCCCTGACAATAGACAGCATCAACCAAACCGGCATCTCAAAAGTGGTCGGTACGTTATTGCCAGTCAAGGTCTTGAAAATCTCCGACATCTGATCAAACGTCAATTCATCGCCAGCAAGCGACTCGGCATGATTCTTCCAAGCTTCAGGGTTCATGAATGCTGCCGCAGCAAAGAATCCAATGTCGCTCGTCGCGATCACCTGCAGCGGCTTGCCCTTCAGATACATCCGCCATGCGGTTGCAAACACCTTCCCGAAGTAATCTGGCGTGAGGTTATCGAAGAAAGCAACCGGACGGAGAATTGTCCATTCCATGTCGGTCCCGTTTGCTTTCTCCTTGAGATGCTTCTCGATCTCGTGTTTGAAAATGAAATGCGGGACTGAAGTTGGGTTTTTGTCTGATTTCTCGCCACCGCGGTCGACAGAGCTGTATACGAAGTACTTGACGCCTTGTTTGATGGATTCGTCTATGAGAGCCATTCCTTGGCGTCTTTCGTCGGTGTTTCCGGGATTGACAGCCTATTTTATTGGTAAGTCGGGGTATATCTGAGGTATTGTGTTTCAGGGATTTACTTGGACGCTGAACACGCCCCAGACTGGCTCCGAGGTTTGAAGCGCTACATCCTCAAAGATGGCAGCCGGGTCATCGAGGTTGCCTTGGATCAATGTGATACTAGAAGACTTCTGGGCGAGTTTCTTCGATGAAGCAGAATTGACATCACGGGTCACGGCGAGGATCTTGAAAGGGGCACTTTTCTCTAGGAGGTTGTTGATGACAGAGCCTCCCTGTTTGCCTGTGGCGCCGGTGACGAGGATTGTGGTCATTGCAGTTAGTTTTCGAGTCTTTTCGAGGGTAGTATAAATGATAAACTGTAGGTGCTAAGAATAAGCACAACTCAACAATGATAAGTAGGATTCCAAGGTTTATAAACCTTGGAGGCCACCCCGGATTTTAGATGAATGACGTCACATCGATAGATGGTAATATCATGATAAGTCGTATAGGATATAAGACATAAGGCATAAGACATAAAGACATAGAGACAGAGACAGAAGTCACAAAGACAGAAGTTACATAGTATTATTCACTGCAATAATACTCATCCCCCTATGAACTTCCGTGTCGGCAGCATGTAAAAACTCCCTTACCGTCAGATCCAGCCCTTCGTCGTCCAACAAGTCCCCCTCCAATTCACCTCGCAATAGGGGACCATTCATGCCTCCATTCAATTCCCAAACCTTTCCATCTTTCTTAACAAAAGCAATGAAATGAAAGCCGCATTCCTCCTGCGGCAAAGGCACAATCGAGCACCCTTCCGACGCCGCATCCATATGCGCTTCTTCCAGAAACCTCGAATCGTACAAGAGCCGCGCCCTCTCCGCCGGCCCTAGGCTGACTGCCCGCTTTACCATCTTCTCCAGCTCTGATCCGGCCAGAACATATTTCCCGTTCTCCAAATTGACCACCACGTGTAGCAAAGCCATCAGTCCACACGCGTGTCCGATCGTCTGCTTCATCCATAGCACGGGCTCGTCGACTCCGCTGCCGAGATACTCGGGTATGCTGTGTTCGACGTGAGACCGTACAGCGAGGTAGATGGGTCTGTCGCAGAGGAGGATGAGGGCGTTCACGGGCCGTGGGATCCAGGAGAGCATTTCTGGGGTGGTGGAGAGGACGTCATGGAAGGTGAGGCTCGGGGATACTCCAAGGTTC